TTGAGGTTATAAAGTTGAAGGAATTGATGCCATTACTGCTAATTATTTTTTTGCCAATTGAAAGCCAACTTTCTTCCTAAGAATAAGCAAGATTAAGTTATTTTAGACTGAATGTTTTCCCACTACTTGGAGATTGTTGTTAGATCGTCTTATGATTCTAACATAAATTGTTGAAGTTTTACATTTGACCATAGGCGTATAGGTATAATTTCTACTCTATTATGTATATGAGCTAGTTTTATAGGCTTATGGTTTGGTGAAATGATTGGAATGAAATTTGCGGGGCCTTATTATTGAGTTATTTCACTCTATTTCTGCTACTTTTACTTAATAGTCATGGCAAAATAATTATCAGCTTCTTTTTGATGCCTATTTATTTAATAGGTGGTTTTGGTAATTAAGTGCTACTTATATTGGGCGATGTATCCCATCTTAATTTGCCACGTTTAAAAGCTTTAAGTGCTCGATTATTGATTCCTTCTATGGTATTATTGGTTATTAGACGGTGGTTGGGTGCTGAAGTTGAATGAACGTTTCTTATGCTTCCCCTACATATGACTGGTGTATCTGCCTTTTATGTAGGTTTGCATGCGCCTTATTAATACTATTAATTTTGTTATAATGAATTATTTCTATTATTGAAAATAATAGAAATTGATTTTGTTTATGTGAAGAAAGTTTGGCTTGGGTGTGCACAGCCCGTCTCCCTCGAAAGCTGTTGAGGCAAGTCGTAATAAGGTAACCTAAGGTGAATTTGGAGTTAATTATCATACGTTTATGATTAAAATGAAATTATTCACACCATTTTATACTGTGTTTTATTAAGTGCATACTATTTATACTAATATATTTTTTCTCTTATTAGACATCCTTTTTATTTTTGTGATTTTTTAGTATTCAATTCTTTCATTAGTAGATTACTTTGTTGTTATGTTTTTGGGATTAATTAATATTCTTTAATATTTTGTTTCTTTGATATGGGAGGGGTGAATATATATTATTGGTTTTTTGTTTCGGTACATAGGCCAAATCGTAGTGGTATTTCTTATATTTGTGTCAATTTTAATTTACAGTTCATTAGTTAGAGAATGGATGCATGTTGGTTGTGTGCACTGCAGAGATACGAGTGAACCGCCTTTAAGAGGTAGTGGTTAGAGTGTGTAGAGGTCAGGGGCATGAAATGTGTCCAATTTTAACCAAGGAGAACGCAATCAGCCAATACAGATGCTTCACTAATACTTAGGAGTGATAAAATAGTGTGTGAAATCGATCGATTTTGGAGTGAGAATAAGCAAATATTGTTGAAGTGGTGATCTGAGCTGTTTATTTCCTGCTATAGGGTGAAATAAACAAACGGGAAGGAAGCACTTATTACTTAAGTAGACACGTAACCAAAAAATTTGAATTACCACTGTGTGAACTATGTTTGTGCATATTGTCACTATTCCATTCGCACATTGCATTCATCATGAGGTAGAGTTAAGGAAGCGATGTTATCTAGTTGGTTGGTTTGTTGGTTAACTAGCTACTTCAGCCCAGAGCCCTCGTTCGCCGTCAGTCTCCTGGTCACCACCGCGGGTCTCTTGCCTGCTCCTGTTGGTAGAAGTGAATACAGGAGTCTGACGTTACCACCCAGGACCACGTGGAGGTGAGGGTTGGAGTTTCCTGGGTAGGGAGGCGCAGGCACTGCCCAGGTGA